TAGACCAGAGAAACATACACCCAAATTAAATTTACACTAAAATTATTAATTAACATTACCTTTATTAATTTAAACAATGAGATTAAGTCAAAGTCATATAACTGACAATTTGCACAAACGAATTATCAGAGCAAATTTTGATATATTATATTATCCTACTATTGTTATACAATTGATTAACATACTCTTTTTTAGGTTCATTTAGGTTCTTTTGATAACGATAGCAGAACATAGCTATCGAAACGTCAAGGTAATTTTTCAAATTAATTTCTCTACTAATTGGAATTTTCTCTTACAGCTTGAGCCTAAGTGTGTCGCAGGATACCCTCTAGGTGATAGTTCTTGATAAATAATTCGTTCTTATTGCAAAATAGGAGCACTATTTATCAATCTGTAATAAAAGACGTGAGGAAATGCTGTCTTTTTTTAAGACAAACATTTTTGAGGCGAAATACCCAAAAAGAAGTTTGTAAATAATAGATCCATTCATGACGTATTCAATTTACAGCAATGAGAATTCGTTTGACCAGCAAGAGAAGAAAAGTGGCTAAACACTCGTTTAACACCGCCGAAGGTGTTAGATGCTAAAAGTGAAATTGATATTGCAAAAGTTTGGCAAGCATGCACTATCGAATCCATACCTTTAGCTCCTTCCGAAGAAAAAATGTCTGTTGAACACCATAGAAACAAGAAACTTGATCAGTTGAGAAAGCAAGCTCTAAAGTTGTTCAGATCCCAGCAAATGAGTGAAGTCTTGCAAAAAGCATGTCGAGTCGTTGAGACGGGAAAATTCTCAATTTGCAGTGATATGAACATCCATTTGAATCTAAAGTTAAAGTCTAACATAATCCGTCTACTGTTGGCATACAACCCTTTATGGCTGAAAATCGGTTTAGAAACGATTTATAACGAAGAGATTCCATTAAGATCAAATTGTGATTCGCGAAGTTTGGCTAATTTCCCTCTAGAAAGGTTTTTCAAGGATCCCAATTTATTGAAAAAATACAAGAGCATGTATGCTCCAAACTACTCGTCAGAAGTAAAAAAATGATCTTAAAAAGGTTTCTTATGCTGGTGTACTTTGTGGATAAATCAAAATCGGAGAAATTAATACAGCATGGCTCATGCTTATTGTCTAAAAATGCCGTTGAAAAGGCAAGCAAGCAGATGCTGATTCAGTTTGCTAGAGAAACCTTGGCAGGAGTAGGGGATATCACCAAATACCTCAGATGCATAGGATACGTAGTGAACCATTCTTAGTCGTACATTGAGGAATTTGAAAAAGGTGCTCAGAATCTGATCGTCGATTGTCGATTTGCGTGAGGGCGTGAGACTCGCTAAAGTAATGGAGATTATCCAGGTGAGAAATGACTTACAGCTCTGAAAGAATCTGAATATGAAATATTTCTGGGGCAAATAATATACAAGTTTGAAGCCCCTCTCATGGCAAAAAGTGCAACAGTTTAGACTTCAGGCTTTATGTGCCGCCGGAAATTTATATGGCTAAAAGCATGCAGTTAAAAGTCAGTTAAGTGTGAATAATTATCACTTTCAGCTCCAAACACTCAGGCTCGAACAGTGATAATTAGCCGAAATGTAAATAATATTAAATAAATTTAATGCATCTGATAAAATGTACGGCACAAAATCGAATACCAGAGTTCACTTTTGCTGCCGAAAATAGAAATTGTTATGATTATGTAGATATTATAATTATGGGATTTTATGTATTTGTCAATGAAAATGGTAGGAAATAGGTAGTAAACGCAGTTTTCTTCGAATAATCGCAATGATTTCCACAGAAAAATGTAACTGGCATATTGTACACTTAAATTTTTATTTATAATTTATCTGAATCAAAACTATTTATACCATATAAATACGAGATCTAATATACATTTATAGACGTATTTATTTGGTGGTAATAATTGGTCTTCTGAGGTAGCTAATCCGACTTTATTTAAATTGGACCTGAGACGAACATATTTTGGAATCAGTGGCTAGATTTGCATTAGAATTTTAACGTAATTTTAATGTAATTTTTTTGTCAAATCTCAACAAAACTTCGCCTTTATATAGATTTAAATAGATTTACAGCAGCAGCAGAAAAAATGTGACAATATATTCAATACACTTCAAACATCAGGCTTTTAATAATGATTAATTCTACTGAATCGAAAGTTTGCATTTACAAAGTACTATTTGCGATAAAACCAAAGTGATTTGCACTTTTCGCTGCAAGAGTCGAGATCGTTTTAACCACGATACTAACACTAACGACTTTTTGCGAACACTTGCATTTACTATACACTTTGGTAAATGTATAGTAAATTTCACCTTTTTATTAAGATCTCGAGCGACAAATAGTTGCAAATATTATCTGCAGAGGAACCTAAATATCTAAATCTCTACTGGAGTGTTAGCAGTATTATATTTATAAAGGACTTTCAATTAGAATATACCCTAAGATCTGACGATGAAAATTACTGTTTAGGTAAATATTCTGAATTTTATGCATTGAAAGACTAAAACACAAACATTTAGCAGTTGCAAATACATACGAAAAAACCATAAAAACTTGAATTCGAATAACACAAAATATCAACTGCTTGCTACTTTAAAGCAATTGGGAACATTTGGCATCTAAAACTCTCGGAGTTCTACAACTTTAAGAGATATAGTTAATTTCTG